TGCTGCCCTTTGAGTAATGAAAGTTCTCTGGGAACCTTGATCAAATAATCCACGTATGGTGATCTTGGTTCCTCTGTTCTTCACTTGAAGTTGGGCAGTAGGCAAAGCAGCATCCACTTGAGATGCTTGGGAAGTTACGCTGTACACATCTCGCACCTTGCAGCACTGTACTGGTGTAGATTCTCTACGTCCTATTCTAGGATTGACATAATTAGTCCTAACTAATTTGCACAGTGCAGCATGATGCTTGCCCCTTCTACACCTATTGCAGGTGTTCAGTGGGGTGTCACAGCTGTTAACATTATGTGGTTTGAGACACCTAGTACATTTGTGTAAATGTTTGAGTCGTCTGACTCTTGTGTCTCTATTAGGATAATTAGTACATTTGTACAGAGAATGGTTTTGATTGCAAAACAAGCATATTCCCCATCCTACAGATCGTTTAGGGGTTACCGGTTTAGGTAAAACAGTATTTGCAGGTTGTGATGGTTTTGCTGCTTGCATTTGCTTGTTATTTATTCTCTTGTGAGTACTTGGTGTACTCTGGGGAACCATTAACAGGCTCTTGGGAGTGCTCTTTGGACTATTAGGTCTCTTAGGAGCACCTGTGGGATTATTAGCAGTGCTCTTTGGACTATTAGGTCTCTTAGGAGCACCTGTGGAATTATTAGCAGTGCTTTTTGGACTATTAGGTCTCTTAGGAGCACCTGTGGGACTCTTAGGCCTCACTGATGAATCAGCGTTTGACTGATTGTTGTTACATGGATTATTAGCACCTTTGTTACCTAGTGACTGTCACTTTAGGAGTTTCAGGCAAGGAAACTGATGTAGGTACAGTTTTGGTGCATTCAGATTTAGCATTAATTGCTTGGTCTGCTGTATGATTGCTCATATTACGCAAACTTGTAAATATATCCTGCATTGACAGGGTATTACCATTCTGGCATACATATAATTTATTAAGTGTGTCACCAGACAATTTTCTTTGGATGATAATTTTAGTCATCCACTCAGTAGTTGGGTGATCCACCTCTTTACTGAAAGAATTTATCAGTGACTCAAGCTGAAAACTAAAGTCTTGTAAAGAGTCAACTGATTGCTCTGGTGAAGATAAATTTAATAATTGGTGCACAAGGTTTATAATAGTCTTCTCATTGTCAGCACTTACTTTAGAAGGCTGTTGGGAGCAATTGTGACCATTACTTGTGTTGCTCAAGGCTTCTTGCTTAGCCTCAGCTTTGATTACAGCTTCGGCTGCTGCTGCAGCATTAGCTTTATCATTTTCTGGTTCAGATTCACTGATCATTCCAGCTTCACTTGTTTCATCTGCAGCTTCACTTGTTTCTCTGGGTTCTGGTGATAAGCTAGTTAATTCAGTAGCATTATGTATCGAACTTATAGAATCCAGGGAACATTGAGAAGAGTGGTCTGAAGTTTGATCAGACTCTGTAAACAAATCATCACATGAAGCTGTATTAGATGAGAGGTTAGAAAATGAAAGTTGATCTTCAGTTGTTGATCTTGTATAGTGATCAGTATTGATTAGAGGATTCTCCTCGTCTTGATTTAGCTCAAGTATTTCATCTGAGCTGAGTGTTAGCTTGGATACAGGTCTATTAATGATCTGATCCACCCACTCGGGAATATCTTGCTTCGCAAGCACCTCCTTATATCGGTCTAAACTGGTTTGAACAGAATGTTCATAGTTATCGAGATCAGATTCTGTTAGACGTAAGTGGTCTGAGACAGTATGACCGGCTTGGAGTAAATTCCTGTGGGTCTCGATTACAGTCTTGATGTAGTCATATTTTTGGCTGGCGATCCTTATGGAACTGGCTAGTCTGTAGACGTCACCTGGGTCAGTTTCGACACAGAAATGACATTTCACAAGCAGGTTTCCTAAAGGAGCTTGAAGAGCTGTCAAGAATCTTGCATTCCTTTCTAAAGGATTCATTCTTGCGGTAAATTGAGCCTGATAGGGCTTATGTAGCTAGTGGTATAGCTATAGTCTGCTCCTGGATGTAGAGCAGGTATAATTATTGACAGCCTGATATTTCTTGAGGCTGGTTGTAATTTACCTCATTTAGAGGTTAGCTACCTACCTAATAATAAGCAACTAAGATTTGAGTGGTACCTTGGTCTCACTACAGGTGTTCCTCAGCTTAGCTCTTCTAAATCAGCTTCGGATGGGTAGTGGACTTACAGTAACACTCAAAGACATACATAGAAATATGCAATAAAATAATTACACAATAAATGGTTAATCCCACCCTTGATAGGGTCAGCACAAAAGAATAATATATGTGTCACTAACTAGCTCAAGCCTAGTCGTGTGAATTTCTACTTGAGAAACTACAACTATATTTAGTCTGTGCTTGTGCCAAATTCAACACAATCACAGCCTAAATTGCTACCTACTGAAGGTTGGCAAAGATTATATTATGGTGCAATAATGTGCAAATAATTGTGCTGTGTTTTTGGGTTTTTTGTATTTTATATAATATATACACTTGTGTAATTATGTGTATAAGAAATTAAATGAACACAAAGGAATTAATTGTGTTTGGCAAGTATTCTACTGCCGTAAATATTATCTAACTCCTGAATGTACTCCTAATTGTGGAATAAAATGTTATCAGGGTTAGTAATGATTAACTAGTATGAGATCAGTAATTTATATTAGTATACTCGATCCCTAAATGTTAATGATCCACTGACTTGAGTGAACCAGTAACTTTAACATGGATTCAGGCTATAATGGACGGTCTGCTGACAGCCATATATTGAAACATTGGTATAGCCTAAATGGTTAACACTTAATTGGTGTTAGTGATTAATATAAGGTTATGAGCTGTTGCTCTTGGTGACCTAAGGTTTCTACTTCAGTATGAAGTGTAGGTCTAAATGTTGTGGGTAATTAGTTATAACCCACTAAAGCTATGTATAAAGTAGCTATGTTAGTGTGATCTAGACTAACTGATGTGTTACACTGTTAGTTGACACAATTAATTAAATAGTTAGTCTAGCTTCTATCACACAAGGATTAGTTATTAATGGTTAATATTTTAATTATAAATTTAATGCCTATCCGGTTCGAAGGACCATAATGTGGGATATTTGGGTTTGATTCTGATTAATTAATAATTAAAGTAGTAAATTAAATTACGAAGGACCACCCGCTTTTAAAGTAAAGAAGGAAACTGAGAATTTCAGATCATTAGATAAAATTCTAGAGAAAACCAGTGACTATGGATATGACTAGAAAGTATGATCATAAGAATAATTAATGGGCTGTATTATTAAAACCAAACCTCAAACACCTACATTGGGGGGTTATTACTGGAGGTCAGTACGTCCAGGAATCAGTGTGGTTCGTTCACTAATTCTATTAATAATAATCTAATCCTATAATTAATGTTGAATATAATATTATTCATACAAAGAAGAACATGAATATGAGCATAATAATGAATTACAGTAAATCACACATTATGTTGAAAACATTCTGAATGTATCAAATTGCAATGTTATGAATAAAAGAAACAAGCCTTAGCTGGTAATAGATTCCTTTAGATAACCCTGGCAGTCCTCTTAATCTCCAAGTCTGATACACCGACGTCTGACACGGTTAACATGGAGAAGACAGCATGAGGAATTCGTCTCTCGAGCTGCAAAATAAATAACTACCAGTAGCAATTGATTTAACTACTCAATACATATTCAAGATTATTGATATCTACAGAGAAATTTCTAATCACCTGTTATTAGGTGTTGTCGTGCCGCGTGACGCGCAATCACCCCGCTATTATTAAACCTGTAAATGATGCATCAAATAAAAGGTACTTAGCTGTGGGCACTGTGTAAGTATTAAGATTGCCGTAATTTCGCATCCCAGGCTCCGGCGAACCTATCCTGGATTGATGCGTTTCAAGTTGGCTGATCACGTGTCGTCAGGAACCAAGTCTAGGGGTCCCTTATTTAACACCAGCACTAGTTGAAGATATTATCTGCAAGGTCGTTCACGCCTCACAGTGGCGGCTTTCATCTGTAGATAGACACACGTGTCCTATTTACTGGACAATGGCGTCTTTTGTGAGTACGGTAAGCGTGGTTTTGCCTCCTTCTGGCCTTGCACGTGTCCGCTTCCCGACTCCCTCACCGAGTGAGTATGGCGTCGCGTCCCTCCCCCCACGCCGAGTCGACGTTCATTACACAAATTATTGGCATGAACATTAATATTTCTCGCATTCGCGCTTGAAACTCTAAAGACTGGACGGGTTTATTATTTAGAGGAACGAAATATTATTATTTAACTATTTAAGAATAGTAAAGATACAAGGGAGAGGAATTAATGTCTCCCCATAGCATTCATTGATGACGTTAACACTATCGCGAGGTAGACGGTATAATTCTAACGCTCTATTCGGCTTTTAGTTAGAGAACAATTCGTCTGCAATCAGTTGTCATACAGAATGCCTTAATTATGGAGAATCGTATTTAATTCTCACACAAATTGTATATAATGTGTTTTACTGTAAAGAAATCTGACGCAATACTAGCGTTAGATGACGTGAGAATTCTAGCCTAATGCACAGATGAATTATTAGTACAGGAGAATTCTACGAGTTGTTAATTTTACTTACTACAATATTAATATGATTAGTAATAAGTAATGAGAATACAACAATGCTGTATTCGATGTTGGAAATATCCAACACTGATCGCCATATTTACTCACATTTGTCAAACTCTTGCCGTAAATTGCATTTGATACTAGCTTGAAAGCTTTACCCTTAATGGCGCAAGGTGTATTTGCACGTTCACGAGCATTTGTTTCGACAAATTCCTTAAGGTACTTGCTCTGTTGGAATTCATAAACTGCATTTACCTTAGCCACTTCCAATCCCAATTTCATCAGCATCTGAAGCAAATCTAAACTCACCAAGTAATCTTTTTGAGGGAGATGTGAGGCAATTAATTTATTGTTTTTCTTAGGGAGTTTACGATCTTCGGTATTTAAAATATGTTTGCTATAATCGGAGAGAAGATCAGTTGAAATATTAGCATGTGACAGGGTTAATGGCAAGTCATCAGTGTATCGAGCCACCTCAGGTGCGACATGCTTGGTGTCACACATGACCCAATACCCCTTATCCCCATCACATGTAATATTTTCCAATCCTTGTTGGAGCCAATCATTGCATTCGGCAGTAGATAATTTACGGATCCCGCCTTGAGGAAGCAGTTCTGTCATACAGGTGGCGTATAAGCCATTAAAATCTAAATAAAGAATATATTTATTGGTGCTAGAAGGATCAGCACCCGTATGCTCATTTTGTACACTTGTGTGTTGCCGCACAACAGAGGTAAATCCGCCTCTTAGATTTCTACGCAATACATCGTACAAATGGGGATCAAAAATAGAGTCCAAGACAACTTGACTCTTAAACAAGAAAGCGTCCCATGCAAAACTAGATAACGAGACATAGTGTGTAATGTCTAACTTGTACAGCTCAAGCATGGTCTTGCGCCATACAGTGAACACATCACACAATAGTCCAGTATCTACTTTCAAATAGACCTTCAGGTAATCCCCAATGGTCTTGCATTCCGCTAATCTAAAGACTTCTTTAGCCTGTGTATAATCGGTCTCGCTTATGGCCTCGTGTTTTAAACTATTGAAAAAGGCTTCGGGAGGAGGAAGAGCCGGTTCATTTAATTTATCCAAAGATGAAATATAGTCATAACAGAAGACCTGTTTGCCTGTCTTTAATAAATGGTGGGCGGCTACAGGGACGTCATCTAGCATAACGGAGGTGTAAGTGGTCGGTTTACCTTCCTTGATATGTTCTTTAGCTAGTTTTTCCAGCCCACCATTTAGTAAAGCCAGACTATCCATAAACCGAAGTTTACCAATATCCACTTTCATGAACTTGAATCCATCTTTGGAGGCAATATCAATTTCACGGTTAGGGAGGTTGGACAATTCATTTAAAATTACCCCGTGGTCATAAGCAGCATTGTGAGAGAATGTATATAAATATTTATAAGAATTTCTGCATAAAATGTTGCACCTTTGGCAATAGGCCGCAAGATAATTATTAAATTCAATAGCATGATCATGATGTCGGTGCTTGTCGTTATCTGATTTGAATGGACTATAACACATTTCACATGTGGTTTGACGTCTATGGGCTTGCCAATGTTCACGTGTCATAGATATTTTGTATTTAGGCATGGTAGATTTGATTCTCTTCCATGCTTTCTCCAAAGTATCAATGAAATGATTCACAGGATCATCCCCCATATACGTAAATTTCTCTACCACCTCCAATTCCCTGTTGATGATGATAAAAGCATATGCCACGGCTTTGTGACGCTTCTCAATCATGCCTTGGGGATTGGAAAGGTCCAACAAGCACTCGAAATCATAATATGCCGTGTGAGAGGGACCATAGGCACGACCGTAATTTTGGAATTTGATTTTATGACCTTCAGGGTAAAATTTCAATGTTTGTTTAACTTCGCATGACTCTTCATGATCTCGCATCGCATCAGGTGGCAAATGAATTAAACAGGAATGACAGTAAATATGATTTTGGGGGGCTCTGCTTATTTGACGACGCATGTTGCGAACATACTGATTAAAATCTTTAATGAGCACAAGATGCTGATCCTCCAACATGAGCAAAGGTACTTTAGGAGCAGAATGTTCCCTGCCTTTTCTAGCTAAGCTAATGTAGTACCTATTATCTTCACGTGTAAGCACATAGATAAATATACTTAATTTATTTATATTTTCTATTTTATTTATATTATCGTACGTTATGGGTATTTCTATATCCTCACTCCAACGGACGAATCTAAGACACCACCTGGCTGACTTGGAACGTTTTCTGATGTTATCTAAATGCATCCCCTGAGCTAGACATATATATGCAGCTAAACATTGGATCAAACATATATTTTGCTCGCCTTTAGGATTGAAAACATGTCTCGAACCACGCAATCTATCTGGATAAGGCACGTATTCCCCAAGACGGATAGGGTGCTGAACTGCTATGGAATTGATATAAAAACCAGAAATGTTCTGTATACCTAGACTCGAACCTTCTGTCTCGGCAAAGAACTCTTCTAGCTTATTATCAAGTTCAGCAATCCATTGATCTACGACAACACTAGCCTCACGCCTAGATACAGTGCGTTGCTCAGCCCTTATAGGTAATTCTCCCTCAAAATCAGGTTCATTTTCTTGATTAAGCCGTTGTAAATTAAAAGTAAAATCGGGGTATATCAAGAGGGCAGGAGGGAAATTGGGGTGAACGGCATCAAATAAGTATTCTATTTGCTGAATAAAATAATCACGATATATAGTCAAATAATGGGCAGGATCTCCTTGGGCATGATCTGGGATGCTATATGAATGGCGTATGTACCCCCCATTGAAATTATTGATCACTTCAAGCACTTCGGGTTGAGGAGGAAGCAAAACATCTACCTGCTGCTGCTGTTGTTCCTGAGGTAGTGGTGGCGAATTGGCGATAGGCTGGCTGACGTCCATATCGGAATCTGCTTCCAAAACTAGATGCAGGGAATCTTCATCCTCCAGTTGCGAACCTATAAGTAACGAGAATAATTATATATAGGGAGTTTAATAATAATAATAATGACATTATTGAAATATGAAAATAATAATTAATGTGGATGTTACTTACAATTAGAACTTCCCCTGTTGTCATTATCTTCTGGTGTTGGTGAGCGTGCTCGGCAGTTCACCGCCTCCTCCACGAGGATATTCCTCCTCTACCTCCACTAACTGCTGAGTTGGCGAGCCTAAAATCATATAAATGATCATGTGAATAAAAATTGAAGATGATAAGCGAGGTATTTATATAAATTTATCCAACAAGAATTGGGAATGGTTTCATATTACAGAAAACTATATTTAACTTACTTTCATACTGGACGCTTTGGTGCGATGATGCTTCTGAGTGCTCTGAATCAGAACTAGTATCAGACTCGGAATCAACTAGATACATGCAAAATGGACATGGATCAGGGTTGCGACCTGTAGATTTTAATTATTCTATATAGTTATGCGTGTTTTTTAATGAATGCTGTATAGCTCTACAACTAATTGTAAATAATAATTCATATAAAAATTTAGCTGCTGCCGCTATTGTGCAATTTATTAAAGTATGTATCTTTGTTTAGAATATTAATACAGATAATATCTGATGCCGCTGTTAAGTCATTTTTTTCAATATTAACTATAAATATGCTATAACTCACAACAGATTTATGGGAAATTTCTACAGTTGTTATAACCACAATGGTACTTACGGGTAGAACAAATCACTTTGGAGCACGAAGGACAAATCTTATCAAAATGTCCACGAGGTATTTTATAGCACTGCTCACAGTAAATAACACACTGATGCTGAGGACTGGCGGTGAAGGTTATCCTACATTCAGCACATCTCGCCTGGCACACGTGGAATGGCCCTAGTTTAGGTGCCTTGCAAAGTTCACAAATATTCATGGTTGAGTCGATAGATACGAGACAGTGAAGTCGGATATTGCACAAGTGCTGGAGCTAGTTCAAAGTGTTAGCACAGGAAGCCTGAGTTAAACTGTCCTTTGGGCTGGAGGAAGGTCCTTATAAGGTCAGCTTGCCTGCTGCCAGATGTACGATTCTGCTTAAATTGTTGTATGACAGTTTGGCTACTGATATACTTTGCACTTATTACAAAATAATAATTACAGTCACGGTTGATTAAAATGTATATTCTTAAACCTCTGATTAGGTTAGGTGGGGATGGTTAGTCTAGTCATTTTTTAATAATAACATCAAATACTCATGCCAGTAGGACGCCAAAGGTCGCATTGGTTGTCTGGTGACGTCATACATAGTTGACCAGTCAGGTACTGTAATACCTTCACACCTATATGCTAATGACCAGAAATACCTTATCCCTATACCTGAGGTCGCTTTTCACGATGTCACTAAACATCAACAATAACTGGACTGTAGCATGTATTTGTTTGTTATATATAATACGTTAGGTTAGGTTAGGTTAGGATGGTTTGATCGGGTTTATGAATAACAGAAAATATAAGCAATGAGCGAAAATACGAGCTATTGTAGCTGTATATCAACTTTGATGAAGCACAGAGTATAGGTGAGGTATTAAGCCATATTAAGAGTTCACACTTATGTGTGAACCTCCTGGGATCCGCATTTAGTGCGCCTCGCGCCGCAGAAGGCCTTATTTTAAAACATGAGAGGCTTGCTTTTACTGAATGGGTTTTTTTATTTGTTATATGCCACAGCAAGGTGTGGGTGGTATGTTTTGAGCGAATGTGAGACGTGTATGCGGTTAAAGAGAATATTGGTTTACTACTGAACACGCATTGAAATCGCCAATGCCCAGAGCTCTGTTTTTCATATAAACGACTGATAGAAGTTTTTTCATATTATTTTTTGCCCTATGCATAATAAACGATCCATCAAGAAAGATTGTCAAAGCTCAAATTACATTCTCTAGAACGACGCCGACGAAGAAGAAATAGGGGTGACATGATAGAGGTGTGACTGAATGGTCATAGTAAAGGGGAATATTAATAACCTATTAAACGTATCAACATGAAACAGAATAGGAATGAATTGGATAAGTTATATATTTAGGAAAAAGACCTGGGTAAATATAGGCAGCAGGGGACGAACTTGAAAATACACACATAACTTCTTCCAGTGCTGAAGTTATGTTCTTCTCTCACATACATGATCCTCTTTGATAAATGTAATGGGCGGTGGTTGGAAGTAAATATGAAATTAAAAATAGACTAGGGATGATGGTATTTTACATTAGGTTTCAAGGTCACTGTTGTATCGCAAAACACACGACTCATAGACCGGCTTTTTAATCCCCTTGAACATGCCGGTGCAGGAACGCTGAGCGGCTAGCTGGTGACGTCATTGACCATTAGCAATGTCTGTGCAGGGTCACTGAGCTGACGAAATTTGGGGATGACTGGAGGCGGCCGTTTAATCCCCTTGAGCGAAAATGGCAGGGGCCATAGAGCGACTTGTAGAAAACCCAGGGTGCGTAGACCGGCCCCTGAAAAACGGACGGTCTAAAAGTTGAAAATAGCCCGGCCGTGGGAAAAAGCAAAACGGACGGTCTAAAAAGTTGAAAATAGACCGGCCGTGGGAAAAAGTAAAACGGACGGTCTAAAAAGTTGAAAATAGCCCGGCCGTGGGAAAAAGCAAAACGGACGGTCTAAAAAGTTGAAAATAGACCGGCCGTGGGAAAAAGTAAAACGGACGGTCTAAAAAGTTGAAAATAGCCCGGCCGTGGGAAAAAGCAAAACGGACGGTCTAAAAGTTGATAATAGACCGGCCGTGGGAAAAAGCAAAATGGACGGTCTAAAAGTTGATAATAGACCGGCCGTGGGAAAAAGCAAAACGGACGGTCTAAAAAGTTGAAAATAGACCGGCCGTGGGAAAAACCAAAACGGACGGTCTAAAAAGTAGGCACGTAGACCGTCCGCGGGAAAAAGCAAAACGGACGGTCTACGTGCCTACTTCCACTACTGTTATCTACTCAGCCCTTGACAAAAATGAGTTTCCGATTGGACTCTTCATTGACCTAAGAAAAGCCTTTGATACTGTTAATCACAACTACCTCTTACTTAAACTCCAGCATTATGGAATCCGAGGCCTTGCCCTTGACTACATCCGATCCTATCTTAGTGACAGACACCAATATGTAACCATCAATGATACAACTTCTTCCACTCTACTAATTACCGTTGGAGTGCCACAGGGCAGCATCTTAGGACCTCTTCTATTTCTTATATATATAAACGATCTGCCTAATGTCTCTAATATTCTCAAACCTATATTGTTTGCTGACGATACTACCCTTATCTATTCAGACCTCAACCCACATACACTAAATAATGTTGTGAATAACGAATTAAAAAAGTCCACTTATGGATGTCAACAAACAAACTAACATTAAACATCGAAAAGACTTACTACATCTTATTTGGAAGCAAATCATCAAATGCAATTCAGCTACAGATAGACAACATTAACATCAGTAATAAAAATGATGGCAAGTTTCTTGGCCTATTCCTAGACAAGAGACTCAACTTCAGCACCCACATTCAACACATAACAAAGAAAGTCTCTAAGACAGTTGGTATACTCTCCAAAATCAGATATTATGTTCCTAACTCTGCTCTCCTCTCACTATATTATGCACTAACCTACCCCTATCTTAATTATGGTATCTGTGCATGGGGGTCTACCACTGCAAACCACCTTAAGCCTATCATCACACAGCAAAAATCTGCTATCAGAATAATAACTAACTCTGCTTTCAGACAACATTCAGCTCCCTTGTTTAAATTCCTAAACTTGTTAAATATTAACTCCTTCCACACATTCTCTTGTGTCAACTACATTTACAAAACCCTGTTCTTAAATGCAAACCATGCTCTGAAACTCTCCCTGGACAGATGTAATAGGACCCATTATCACCACACCAGAAATAAATATCTCTTTGATATCCTCAGGGTCAAACTTAATCTGTGTAAACACTCTATGCAAATTAAGGGACCTAGTCTATGGAACTCACTCCCTAGTGAATTGAAAAACTGTAAAACGTTTGCCTTATTTAAAAGCAAAACCAAAAAGTACCTAATTTCATCTTCTTAGTTTCCTGCACTGAGCTTTAAATTTGCTCTGTATCTAGTGTTACCCAATCTCCCAATCTTTATGTACTTAATCCAAACAACTTCATCATTGTGTTCATTGCTGTCTTCTTTTATGTGCTAGCCATATGCTGTATTGTGACTACCAATTTTTGTCAACTACCATTCAAGCTGTCATTGCAATCAATCTTAGCTACCTATGTGCTTTAATATACTGTACCTACAATTTTCTCTCATCTTTTTTTCATTCCATGTAACTATTATCATTTTTTTTGTCTATAAATTTTGCAAGTATTTACCTCCTTAAAATTTTCTTAGATTAAGGACCTGCCCGAAACGTTGCGCGTGCTAGTGGCTTTACAAGACTGTAATTACCATATTATGTATCCTCACATTCCCAATGTACATTTTTGTATTCATAAATAAATAAAATAAAATAAAACCTAGCAAACACATATTTTTATGCAGTACTCATGACAACCCGATTTGTGTTGTCAACATAATATTATCATAACTATAGTAATAATTTAACTATAATCGTATCACCTTTGAGTGTTAATCTGTGTCTCTGTACCAACTAAGAGTGATTTTGAGGGGCTAACTTGAGGCATATCCAACATAGATACAAGGTTACCACTCAAAATATAGTGTGTATGATTATATAATGTGTATTTTTTAAATGATAAACAGCTCTCTTTTGGAAAATAGTAGCTCTACTAGCTCAAGTGCTAGAAACAGTCCAATCAAAGTCCAACAAGGCTTAGTACTAGTATATCTGCAGCACGGCTAGCAAATAGAGCCATTATGTCTACTGCCAACAATGTAAAAGCGACCCTCACTGGAATGAAGGGCCACTTAACCCGACAGATAAAAAAATGCGATGATTTATGTAATCAAATCCAGTTGATTAAGTAGAACTGGAAATCCATCATAAGATTGCTCAAACCAAATATCAGCATGTACAAATGCAAATCCTGAAATATCAGGATGAACTTGCTGCTACCAACATAGATGAAGATGCGATGGACGCTGTAGTACAAGAAAACGCAGATTATGAAGATACCATACATGCAAAGTTACATCACTTTGACAATTTAATAACCATACACAAGGCCACTACAAGCATTGCAGCCAGAGCTTCTCAAAACCCGACACAACCAGAAGTCAAATTACCATCACTCAGTCTCCCAACTTTTTCTGGTACAGAGGACGAGAGTTGGGACAACTTCTGGAACAAATTTGTTGATTCTGTAGATTCTAATGAGAATGTAGCAAAGACAACAAAATTTACATATTTGCAAGCTGTCTTAAAGGATGAAGCGTTAAAAGTGGTCTGTAATTTGACCTTTACTGATGATGGTTATGATAATGCAGTACAGCTCCTTAAGGAAAATTATGCTAAGCCAGAAGGGACTATCAGACTTCTAACCCAAAAGCTGTTGGATATTACCCATCCAGATGAGGGGCTGACTCACTCCAAGCCTTTAGATTGGAGCTTGAGTCCTTGCTCAAAGCACTTAAGAATAAAGTAAATCTGGAGGAATCGGACTGGATAATCCAAGTCCATATGAAAAACAAATGACCCAGTGACGTACTGGATAAGTTGTTTGTCTTATATAACAAATCTTCTCTGACAGTAAAGGAGATAACCGAAGGTTTGCGATCCATCATAGAAAGACAACGAAATAACACAAATGGAAAAGCGACATCTAAACCTTCTTTTACCACTAATAGTAAACAACAGAGTACAAACAGTATTCCCAATATATCTAAAACAACTTCCCCCTGCCCAAAGTGGAAACAAGATAGTGTGGGCACATAAGCAATGGGTCCCTCCAAACCTACAGTTAATATATCAACCAAAATGGTGACTCCCCAAGATGCTGTTAACGTCTGGAGGTCATGTGTATTC